AAATACCCTTCTTTGAATGCAGAGGGAGTTTGAGTTAACACTTAGATAGTACCCATATAAAATCCCAAGGACCCGGGAATGGTAGCAATGCCTTGACATTAATCTAACATTTAGTAAGGGCATTTTGTAAAGCCGTGATCTCTGATTCACGGAGAGAAGCCCTGAAAGCATCCACAAAGGGCAACTTGTATGCATGTACAAACGAGGAGCCAGTCAGTTGCATTTTATGTTCAGACCAAGAGGGCTCTATGTGTACATGAACACATTATTTTCTTGGCCCCAATTCTATTTCCAAATGTGACAGCACCAGCAAATAGAAGACCAGTGTCCTCATTATCACGTTAAACAGCCCTTCTGACTACATGGGTAGGACTTTTTTTTTTAAATGGAACTCTTTAGTAAGCAGCCACTTCTCTTCTAAGAAGAGGAAAAAGATCTGCTGAGTTCCCATCAGCAAAGGGCATGGTTTGTGGTGAAGTCAGTGGGCAGCACCCACTGGAAGCTTCCTAGCTAATCGCCCTTGTTCCCTTTGATATATATTATTTCTTCAGTAACCAGTTTTTCCCTCCTCTGTGGGAAAAGGGAAGTGACAAGCCTCTGGAGTTTTCTGCTCATTAGGAAAACAGTATGTTTTCACTAGATGACTGATGTAGGTTTCCTGAACAAGCTGTTTGCTCTTAACTGACCAGTATGACAGAGCAGGGGTAGACCTCCTTCCTCATCCCCCCCCTTTTTTTGTTCACAACTTGCAGGATCAAGAAATGGAGTATGGCCTGATTAAATTGGACAAAGCGGGCAGAGAGGCAAGAGAACGGGGTTTTATTTTGAACGAGCCGAAACTTGCAAAATATGATTCTTATGAAAGGTTCTCCTAAATCTTACTGATTTTGTCCAACATCATATTTGAAGGGAATGATATTTTGAGTGTGGCTCTGATATGTGATGTTCCAAAGCTTGAGAGACAGTGTGTTAATGTCTTAGTGTGCTCAGTTCTTCTTTCAGATCCTGGAAAGGATCTGGCCTTCTGTTCTTTAAGACGACAAGAAGCATGTCTTTTGCTGACCCAATTTGCGGCTAATGATAAAACTCAATAGAGGAAAATGGTGCACATTGGAGCGAGGATGCGGCGGTTTTTCTCCTTCAAGCAGGATGTCCTTCGTACAACTGGTCAGGCAGCCATTTTTTTGCAGCAACGACTGGTCGTGCAAAGGGAAGCCTGGTAGAGGCAAGGTGGAATGTGTGAGGGTGACCCTTACTGTATTGCGTGAGGGAATGGCACTCTGGCCAAAAACAACAACAACAAAAACAAATACAACCAGGACACAAAATGGATGAATTACAACGTTAGAAATTTAAAAAAAAACACCATAAATATTGTGACACTTTTGAAACTAACAAATTTATTTCATGGATTACAATCCACTTCTTTAGGGATAATACATATGTAGGAGAAGGGATACCTTTATTTAGACCACTAAAAATGAACTGTTCAGTGTGAACCTTCATGGTTAAAAAAAAATCACTTCTTCAGGCATGCACCAATATCTTGTGGAGAGTGCGGAAAAATTATAAATGAATGTCCCGAAATTTTCTTGCCAGAAGTCTTCTTAAGGTGAGCTCAGAGCCGGTTTCAACCCGTTTGGGAGTGTGGGTGTGTTTCAATGTGGTTGAAATTTTCCACTCACCCTCCAGGATAGGAGGTAGTCCCTGAATGAGTGTTCAACTTTTAGTGGTCTAAATAAATATATCATTTCTCCTACGTTTGTATTGAGTAAAGAACCGTCCGGCTCTCTTTGGTGTTGTTTTTCCTCAAGTTTTTCCTCAAGTTGTGCCTGAAACAGTGGCTGAAATACTGTTGGTGCAACTTTACACTACACAAGGTGGATGATGTTATCTTCTGCTGATGTACATATTTAATTTAATTAAAAACTTTCCCGCCCGTTTAAGATTTTGAGGCTCTCTAGGTGTCATCGAAGCTGCCAACATGAATTTGACCCAACTCTGGGAGGCAGTGGAAGACAGGAGGGCCTGGCGTGCTCTGGTCCATGGGGTCACAAAGAGTCGGACACGACTAAATGACTAAACAACAACAAAGGGATCCCTTTTGCCGTTGGGAAGCCTCAGCACCAGGACAGGGGAAATTTTAATGTTGGAAAATTGCTGTTGCTGATCCTGCCACTGGATTGGGACCTCCAGCAGCAAACCAGTGGCAATTTTCTCATTTTAAAGACTCTCCATGTGCTGAAGCTCCCAAAGGGTTCCCAAGAGCAAAAGGGATCCCTAGAGAATTTCAAAGCAGCACTATTTCTCATTGATTTGATTCTGGCAACTGCTTGGATTGAGCAGCAGCCTCCATCCAACTGCTAGTCCCAACTAGACTAGACCATTTGTTCAATGGGAAAAGAACACACATACATCCTAGTGATTCAATGAGTCTGTTCTAGTGGGCAAGAGGTACCCAGTGAGGTGTAATGGATAGAGCAATAGATTAGGACTCTCAGGAGACCTGGGTTCACTTCCATGGCTATGCCATGGAAACTCACTGAGAGATGGAACTGATAAAATTTAAATAACTCTACCTTGAAAACTCTAAAGAGTTGCTCTAAGTCAGTTCTGACTAGATGAGACATAACAGTAATAACTCTAGTAGGTACTAGCAGTTGGATTGAGTGAGGCCTGTTATTAATCCCTTTTCCCTGTGAGAATTGGGGGAAAAATAAGAAATAAAGGCTTCTTAGAAAGATGTGTGGAACAGAAGTTAGTCCTTTAGAATCGGAGTCCTTTGTGTTGCGCACACCACGTGGTGTCAAAAAGCATCCAGAAGGCAATTGTTTCTGCATAAGTCAAATGTTCTTCTAGTTGCTGCAGCCCTCTTTACTACAGAGATCAGAAACAATGCCATATATGAAGCCAGTCTAACATGGTAAGGGAGCAAACAAGCTATGCTACCCTCTAAGAGCAGGGTTAAATCCAGATGCTCCAACCGTCAATATTTAGCTGGCTATATTTAACTTGTTATCTACAACTTATCAAGAAAGTGTTCCTCCATTGGTTTACTTTTGTGGTGGCAAGCCCTTTCATCCTTGTTTGTCTTGCCTTCACTTAGAACAGCAGGCAGATACTGCCTGTATTGGGGAACACAAACAGAAGTACTGTATGCAGCTGTGTTCCTTCTCAGTTTGTGTATTTCCAGTGGACATAAAGGCAGGAAAGAACAATGAGCTAGGTAGGCCAAAGCCAGATCCAGCAGAGTAAGATCAACTCCTGAGGCATGCAGTGGAACCATCCACAGATTAGCCTAGTTTCAGTGTAAGTGAGAGGACCAGACTGATCTGATCATCTGCTATGTGCTTCTCCGTTCGTCTCCCCCCACTCCGCAATCATATTTGCATTGGAATTCTGATTCTCGTCGACTCTTCTTGCAAGAGCTACCAGTAGCAGCCAAACACTTACAGCATCACATTGACATCAACAACTACAGTTTGGCACCTACTTGTCCCCCACAGCCAGTAGACTTCTCTGTTTTTAAAACTAGTTGGAGTGACAAGTGACTAGGAGAGCACCCCAAACCAGTCATACCATGAGACATACAGAGGGAATAATAATCACTGAACTACCCAGCAGGATGGGAAGGTATCTTTGGCCCTCCAGATGTTTGGGGCATCATCTTCCAGCATGGCTAATGGTAAGGGACACCAGGAATTTTAATCCAAAACATCTTGTGAATGTATATTCGCGAAGGCTTTCACGGCCGGGATCTAATGGTTGTTCTGGGTTTTTTGGGCTCTTTGGCCGTGTTCTGAAGGTTGTTCTTCCTGACATTTCGCCAGTCTCTGTGGCCGGCATCTTCAGAGGACAGCAATGATTCCCTACTCTTGAGATATGGAATCTAGTCTGAGGAACTGATGAGACTCCTCAGTGTTTCCTTGTGTTTTTGCCTTCAGTTGTTCTTATCTTCCTTCTGTTCCATGCCTAATATGTGTCTGCTATCATTTGCAGCTTGAAGCTCTCTTGGTGGAGATGCAGGATCCAAATTCTGGTATCAAAATGCACACCCAGAAGGTCATGGTTGCCAGTATCCCACATGCTATGACCGGTAAGTATAACAGTAGTAAGCAATGAAAGATGACACCAGCCACCCGGTTCCTCTTATGGAAACATTGCCTTAGTATTTATAAATACTGTATTTCTCCACATGATTTTTGTAGAACAGCCACAACGATCCAGTCTCACAGCTGCAGTGAGGCACGTTGTGGGCCATTAAGACTGCTGTCCTCACATCATGATGAAAGAGAACACAAAGAGTAAAATTATTTTATTAAATTATACACATTACATGTGTCAGCTGCCATCTCTATGCCTGAAATAGTACAAAATAGTTCTAAAACTATGTATGTACCAAACTGTTATCGCAGAAGTTATTTGAAATTGGTAATACTAACTGCAAGGAAAACATATAACAGTGAGTCACTTTTATACGTTCCACTGTGACCTCTCACAGAGGAAATGTTTTATTAGTTTGATCCAAGAACTAAGTGAGGAAAGTTACATGCTGTAGTAAACACCTTACATTCACTGGAGCCTCATTCCCAGCAAACGTAATAAAAACTATAGCCCAAGGGTCAGATTTGCTGGGAAGAATTTGGTTGTCTGATATTTTTCCCCTGTAGTTAGAGACACTGGGATCCTGATTGTAGGAATAGTTCTATCTTTCTCTTGTGGCGTTTCAAGTGGAGTTCTAGAAACATAAGATTGATATGTCTTCACACAGAGATTATCCATCCAAGATGTCGAGAGGTGATACAAGTGTTCTACCTTTCTTAGTACAGTATTTCTTTGACTATCATGGGTTTTCCAAAGGGCTTTAATTTTATCCATACTAGGAGGAGGAGAATGGATGAGTGGGTGTGATGTCAAAGAGTGCCATTCTACATTGGAGTTACATGTCATCACTCATTTATTAATTTCCCACCGTTTCCTTGCCCCTTCCTCCATCTTTCTTTTTTTCCAGAGATGATATCTTGAGTAGGGAATGATGAAATAATTGCACTGTTTCTTTTGCTCAATAATGCTAGTTAACTATCCGTCTAGAAGCCGAAGCGCTCATGTTTCCTTCCTGAAAGGTTTCTTGTTTGTTTGTTTGTTTTTTGACTAGTCAGGAAAAATATGAAAGAGTGATATCTGAATCCTTGGCAAAATTAGGTGAATAAGATGGTGTGATTGCACAATAAATACAACTCTGTGATGAGGTGACTGTAGAAAGCTGTCTTGTAGGTAGAGGTAAAGGTTCCCCTTGACATTTAGTCCAGTCATGTCCAACTCTAGGGCGCGGTGCTCATCCCCGTCTCCAAGCCATAGAGCCAGCGTTTTGTCCGTAGACAGTTTCCATGATCACATGGCCAGCGTAACTAGACACGGAACACCATTACCTTCCCACCGTGATGGTACCTATTTATCTACTTGCATTTGCATGCTTTCGAACTGCTA